ATACGGCAATTTTAAATTATGACCAAAATTTGCTATACAGCAAGCGGTTTTTCAAATACAGCGCACCCCACCTGGTTTGTTTACATTCTCCATGAACACATCTCTCTATTATGTCTGGAGATTTTCCAAAATTTCAAGTGTTTTAAAGTTATTGCACATTTTATATGTACTCTGATAATTATATTTATGTGTACCTGTACCTAAATATACTTACACACTGTGCTGGCATGCAGGTACACATAAAATCACAACGGCTCTCTCTACTCTTGAAGACGACACATTAACCCTTTCAGGGTCGACAGGCCCTCTCAGAGAATTGTTCTCAGGGTTGTCCAAATTTCAAAAAAAAAAAAAAAAAAAAAAAAAAAAAAAAAAAAAAAAAAAAAAAAAAAAAAAAAAATCTCATGAAAAGATAGAGAATCTTTTCCCCATCATAATGACACCAAAAGTATAAAATTTGATGGAAAACTTACGGAATTATGCTCTCACGAAGTTAGCGGTCTCGACGATGTTTACGCATTGGCGATTTTGCCCACTTTAAGCCCTATTTTCGGCCAATTCCAGTGTACTTGTCGACAAAAATCATAACTATTTCACTAGAACTCCATTTTTTCTATCGAATGAGTACAAGAAACCACCCATTTACCGATTTCAACTATCCAATACAGTGGTCAGAATTTAGCAATTTTGCCAATTTCACACAAATTTCAAAAGATGCCAATTTCTGAATAGGGTCCAGAATAAACAAGAAAGACATTCCTGGCACTAAAATAACATTTCATCTGTTCATTAGTCACGTCCCCATGCCCCTCTTACATTCTTTTGCATTCCACTTTGAATTTTATTCTCACAAAAAAATAGAAGATTTACTGTTATGCAGACTACTGCATTGATGTAGAAATGGTATAAATATTATCAGCGCACTTGTGAAAGAATATTAGACTCGCCAGTTGATGTGTATTGTACGCATAGCATGATTTGTTTACTTTTGAACTTTGGTAAAAATCGAACATTTCTGCTACTTTGAGCGCAATTTCAAGGTAGTTTTCTTTGTAAAACCAGTCCAAATCATCTCAATTTCTGTAATATGTCTTTCATTCTATAAAATGAGACCAGGAAAACTAGAATACAACAATAAATACCATACAAAAATACAGTGCAAAGTCGCTGTTTTAATCCAAAACACAAAGTTTTTTTTTTCTCATTACGCACTGTGTGCTGCAGGATTTTTTTTATACTGCACACACTGACCACATAGACCCATTCTTTCATATGTAGGCCTACCAGCTTTCACTAGATTTGAGGGCGCTAGAATTTAGGCGTACTAGTACGTCAAAAACCCTGGTGCGTAAGCCATACTAGTAAGGCCGAAACCCTGAAAGGGTTAATAATAATAATAATAATAATCTCTTGGGTGCATTAAATTTCATATATTACATTAATACAGACATTTCCATTAATCCATCTTTGATATTTTTTCAAAATTATATAATAAACATGCTACGCAACATATAAACATGATACATACACCCACAGTATAAAAATTGACTTAAATATGAGATCTGTTTACCAAGTGGTTGGTTGGAGGGTCAGAAGAATTACATTTTCTCTAGTCAAACACCACTAACTTAACTAGAAATTTATTCCTTTCGTATGCCTTCACTATCTACAACTATTCACCAGCCCTTGTGGGTTTAGTGCTCCTTTTTTATTATGATTATAATAATAACTTGTAATAATAATAAAAACTTGTAATAATAATTTGTAAGAATAATAAAAAAATAATAAATAAAATAAAAATAAAAATAAAAATTTGTAAGCTGTTCCCTTCCCAAAAAATTTTACATGAGAATGGAAGTTTTGGGGCTTTATTTTTTTCTACTGTCCACTGTGGAACAACTTGAACCAATTAAGGGTTTGTATGAATTTATGAACCATATAGAGCTTGCCATTTGTTACATAGTGGGTGGGGATGCCAGGGGGGGTTTCCCCCTACCAAAACCCCCCCACTTTCATAAATAAATTTTTTTTTCCCTTTCCCCCTACTTAAAACCCTTTGAGGGCGCAGGCCCCCCCCGAACTCGTTCTCAGGGTGGGCCAAAATTTAAAAAAAAAAAAAAATTTTTTTTTTTTTAGAAAAAATAGGTTTTTTTTTCTAAACATTATGGTAAAAAAAAAAAATTTTACCTCAAATTTGGGAAATATGGATGCATGAGTTTGCAGAAAATGACCCCCGCGAGGGCAAAGGGGCGACTGCCGCTCACCCGGTAAACTTTAGTTTATTGTATTTGAAGGTTTTTGTTTTTTTTCATATTTTATTTTTCACATAACTTTGTGGCCTATGGCCCAAATAAGGTGCAATGAATTATCCCACCGTTGTATAAACAAAATAGCCCAAACATAATTTCAAAAATTTGTTTAAAAAAACTTGTTTACAAAAAAAACAATAAAAAATTGTTTATTATTTTTTTTCTTTTTTTAAATATACCAATATACAGCCCCTGAACATATTCCTTTTTTCGCAGTTTGGGGAAACTCTAAAACATGGTGTCATACACAAGGTGTTTATTTTCTCCCTCTTTATCTCTTTCATCTGTCTCCTCTTTTATCTGTTGTCTATTTTGTCTAAAGGGGACAATAAATCAATATACTAGATAAATTTAGGAAAACCCCAAGAAATCCAGCCAAATGATATTTCCTTGAAGATGTGAGCAAAAGCGATGAACGTTTGTGGCCCTCTGAACAGGACTGGGGGAAGACGTAACGGGAGCTTGACAAAAGACAAAAGACAACAGAAATGTTAGTGTACCAGTATCATGTACTGTGTTCCCCCTCCTCCTCCCTTCCTCTTCCCCCTTTCCCCTACTCTTCCCCTTTTCCCCCCTCCCTTTCCTCATACTCTTCCTCTTCCTCTTCCTCCCCCCCTCTTCCCCTCCTCTTCTTCCTTTTCCCCCTACCTTCCCTTCCTCCCCCTCTTCCCCTCTTCCCCCTCCCTTTTCCTCCTTCTCCTTTCCTCCCCCTCCATAGGTAAATTACCGAGTGGGCAGCGTCAAAATGACATATTTCTCATTAGTCACCCCCCCTCCCGCCGTCAAAACAATGGGTGGGATGCTGCTTCCCTTTCCCCTTCATCTAAATTTTCTTCTCCCCCATTCTGCTTTTTTCCTGCTCCAAAGGGCACAAAAATACAAGTATACATAGTATAAATTACCCCAGGAAACCCAAGAAAACCCCAAAAAAATGCTATACTCTGCTTGAAAATTTAGTAAAAGGAGAACAGTCTTGGGCCCTCTGAGACGAGGCAGATGGATGCAGGGAGCTTTACAGACAGGCAAAAGACGACAGAAATGTTTTTAAAACCCCGCAAAAACAAAGGGGGGGAAAATTTTACTCCTTTTGGGGACACAACACCCCCCATTTACCCTCACAAACGTCAGCACTTATCAGATTATCTCCCCCTTTTCTTGTTACTGTCATGGGTGAACATTTATTTTTCATATTATTATTATTATTATATTATTATTATTATGATTTTTATTATTATTATTATTATTATTATGTTTTTTTGTTATCATTTTGTATTTTCTTCTTCTTCCTCCTCCTCCTTTTTCTTCCTCCTCCTCCCCTTTTTTCTTCCCCTCCCCCTCCCCCTTCTTCTTCCTTCTCCCCTCTGCCTCCTCCTCCTTTTGCCTCCCCTCCCTTTCCCCCCTCCCCTCTTTTCTCTCCTCCTCCTCTGCCCCTCCTCCTCCCCTGCCTCCCCCTCTCCCCTCGCCTCCTCCTCCCCTCCTTCTTTTGGGAAAAATTTGAAGAGCTTTTAGTTCATATCACTACACTATATCACCCAAAGCTACATCTGGTCTGGGGTTTTGGAAAAAAAGGGTTTCCTCTTTTATTCTGGACAATGAACAGAACAAGATGGGCCCGCACCAAGGGAAGGCTTTTGGGGTTTCTGGTTTTTATATTTAAAACCCCTATTAGGTCATTGGGAAACGGTCAAACCTCCCCAAACCCTTTAAACTCATCTTACTGTCACTTTCCCTCTGTTTAGAACGTCACGGGGAAAAAATGGTCCCCAAATTTGCCCCAGGAGTGAGGAACTTTTCCACAGGGACGGTGGAAATTGTGTACTATGTGGCATTCCACAATGCACCCCTGGTCCCCGATTTTTTTTCCCATGCGCACACCCCCACACAGACCATTTTTTCAATTTGGCTTACAGCCTTTTTTGTGAGATTTGAGGCCCCTAGAATTTATGCGTACTAGACGACAAAAACCCCCACGCGTAAGACGTACTAGTCGACCCAAAAACCCCCAAAGGGGTTAAAACCCTTAAGACTACAAAAATTTTAAGTAATGAGTGTACTGTATAACCATTTTATCACTTAGGGCTTTAAGCTCATCGTAGATATTATGGTGGGGGGGTTTGGCCCGGTGGGCTACCACACCCGACTTTTTGTAAAAATTTTTCACCTTTTTTCCCTACATTAAAAACTCAAAAATTTTGAGGTAAATAAGAGTGACTGTGTGTATATTTTACTTTTTTATTGTTTTTTAAAGCCCGTTCTTTTCTAACTTAATGTATGTGTGTAAACTTGTTACGGCATTTTTTTTTTATAAGTGGGAAAAAATGACGTTTGCTTTGGGTATGTCGCTTCTGGATAGCCCGGAACCTAACCTGCCACATAAGTGGGGTCCTAGTGTACAATATCTGTAGCAACATTAGCAGTATTAGTACAAACTCTATAGAAACCTTTCCTATTAAATATCCATACCCTTTTTTAAATAGTGCATGGTAATTTCTTCAGCCACTTTTTTCTGTTATTCTATCCTAACCTAAAGTGTCTCAACAACAGAAATAGCTAGGCTATAGTTGGTCCATCTCAAAAAGGTAACCTCAATATATATAATAAAGTCTGCCATCTCCCCTTCTTAGGTAATATGATACATGTATTTGAATTGAAGAAAAAAGAGGATTGATGCAGTGGCTACTGAAACAAGTCTGAACTTACATATTTTATTTTTGTTAAATTGCTTGTTTGACCTTAGCAATTATCTCTGGCATACGTAATGCATTGAGAATAAGTACCCGGCGATATGGAGTGTATCGATCATCATCATCATCATCATCATCCCAGATGCCTGACACACTAGCTTCACCCTTGACACAATATTCAAAGCTTGCAATACTCTCCTAGAAGGTAAAAATAAAAAATCTTATGTATGGTATAATGCAAATGCAATGTTAATATTGTTGTGTATAAATATAATTCATATATTAACTCTAGAAATATATTTTTTTTATTATCACACCGGCCGATTCCCACCAAGGCAGGGTGGCCCGAAAAAGAAAAACTTTCACCATCATTCACTCCATCACTGTCTTGCCAGAAGGGTGCTTTACACTACAGTTTTTAAACTGCAACATTAACACCCCTCCTTCAGAGTGCAGGCACTGTACTTCCCATCTCCAGGACTCAAGTCCGGCCTGCCGGTTTCCCTGAATCCCTTCATAAATGTTACTTTGCTCACACTCCAACAGCACGTCAAGTATTAAAAACCATTTGTCTCCATTCACTCCTATCAAACACGCCTCACGCATGCCCGCTGGAAGTCCAAGCCCCTCGCACACAAAACCTCCTTTACCCCCTCCCTCCAACCCTTCCTAGGCCGACCCCTACCCCGCCTTCCTTCCACTACAGACTGATACACTCTTGAAGTCATTCTGTTTCGCTCCATTCTCTCTACATGTCCGAACCACCTCAACAACCCTTCCTCAGCCCTCTGGACAACAGTTTTGGTAATCCGCACCTCCTCCTAACTTCCAAACTACGAATTCTCTGCATTATATTCACACCACACATTGCCCTCAGACATGACATCTCCACTGCCTCCAGCCTTCTCCTCGCTGCAACATTCATCACCCACGCTTCACACCCATATAAGAGCGTTGGTAAAACTATACTCTCATACATTCCCCTCTTTGCCTCCAAGGACAAAGTTCTTTGTCTCCACAGACTCCTAAGTGCACCACTCACTCTTTTCCCTCATCAATTCTATGATTCACCTCATCTTTCATAGACCCATCCGCTGACACGTCCACTCCCAAATATCTGAATACGTTCACCTCCTCCATACTCTCTCCTCCAATCTGATATTCATCTTTCATCACCTAATCTTTTTGTTATCCTCATAACCTTACTCTTTCCTGTATTCACCTTTAATTTTCTTCTTTTGCACACCCTACCAAATTCATCCACCAATCTCTGCAACTTCTCTTCAGAATCTCCCAAGAGCACAGTGTCATCGGCAAAGAGCAGCTGTGACAACTCCCACTTTGTGTGTGATTCTTTATCTTTTAACTCCACGCCTCTTGCCAAGACCCTCGCATTTACTTCTCTTACAACCCATCTATAAATATTAAACAACCACGGGGACATCACACATCCTTTTCTAAAATTGGCTTCGTCCTTTTGTTTACATATAGGGGGGGATGCCAGGTGGGTTTCCCCTACCATACCCCCACACGACTTTCTATAAATAAATTTTTTTTCACCTTTCACCTACATTAACCCTTTGGGGGCGACGGGCCCTCCCGAACTCTTTCCCAGGGTGGGCCCAAATTTCAAAAAAAAAAAAATTATTTTTTCTTATAAAAAAATAGGTTTTTTTTTTAAACTTTATAGGAAAAACAAAAAAAATTTCTCAATACTTACGGGATAGGGATGCTAAAGTTGCAAAAAATGACCGCGTATGGCAACAGGGGCGATGCCGCTCCCCCGGTAAACTTTAGTTTACTTTATTAAGGTTTGTTGTTTTTTTCACTATTTTATTTTTCACATAACTTATGTGCCTACTGAGACCCAACAGTAAGCGGTGCAATGTCCTATTAAACTCGTTGTATACCAACACATAAGCACACAAACATAATTATCAATATTTGTTTACAAAACTTTTCAAAAACAAACAATACAAAACATTGTTTATTATTATTGTTCTATAACATATACACCAATAACCGTCCACTGAACCATATTCCTATTCAGTTCCTGCTCAGCTTGTGGAACTCTGAAACATGGTGTCATACACAATGGTGTTTATCTTTCTACCTCATTCTATCTCTTTCAATCTGTCTCTCTCTCAACTTTTCTGTCTGTCACCTCCTCTCAGGTACACATAAATACAAGTATACTGTATAAATTACCTAGGATACCCAAGAAATCCAGCCAACGTGCTATACCTTGCTTGAGATTGAGCAAAAGCGATGCACACGTCTTGTGGCTCTATGAGACAGAGAGCTAGACTGATAGAAGATACGACCAGGAGCTTGACAAAGGACAAATTGACAACAGAAATGTTAGTGTACCATTCAGTGTACTAGTGTTTCCACACCTCCTCTCTCTTCCCTCTTCTCCTCTCCCACACTCTTCCTCCTCTCCCCCTACCTATCCTCATACTCTTCCTCTTCCTCTTCCTCCTCCTCCTCTTCCTCTTTCTCTTCTTCTCTTTTCTCCTCATAACTCTTCTCTCTTTCCTTCTTCTTCCTTTCCCCCTACTCTTTCCACCTTCTCCTTCTCCTCCTCTCCATATGAAATTATCCAGGAATCGGCAGCTGTCAAAATGACATATTGTCTCTTGTAAACTCCTCAACTCCCGACCTTTGTCAAAACATTGGGGTCTGTATGCTCTTCCCTTCCTCTATTCTACTAATTATCTTTCTCATCATCTGTCTTTTTCTGTATCCACCTCCTACAAATACAATTGCATATATATACATTGGATAACCCCAAACCCAACAAATGCTATACTCTCCTTAAATGTGAGTAATGAAACAGTCTTGAGGCCTTCTAAAGACAATTGTTTCTTAAACAGGGTTGACAGACACCACCTTCAAAGCCTTTGTCATACCAGCTATCACAAATGGTCGGATGTTAATTCTTCTTTTGAACCCCTAACCATAATTTACCTCATCAACAGTCTATCCCCTATAATGTTATCCCCTCCTTATCCTTTTGTCTTCAAAGTAACTATTGCATTTTCTTTTTACCTATTACTTACCCTTTATATTTTATTAATATTTACATTAAAATTATCCCTATCATGCTTTTACTTTTCTTCTTCTCCCATCATCCTCTCTCCTCCTCCCTTTCTTTTCCTCCTCCTGCCCTCACGTACTTCCTCCCATCCTCCTCGGCCTTCCTCACTCCTACATGCTCCTATCCCTTGCCCCTCCTCCTCTGCCTTCCCCTCTTCATCCACTTTAACATTCCAATCCTTCCTCCCTCCAATCCTCCTCCTCCATTCTTCCTAGTTTTAAACTTATTTTTTTCACTACTGCTTATCTTAATTGCTCACATCTAATCTGATTTAAAAAAGTTTTTTTAATTCACAACTATCATCTTGGCCATGCCTAGGAGTCTTATTCTCTGTTTTTTCCCCTCTCTTTCCCTATTGGATCACTTTATTGTCAAAAACCTCACCAGAACCTTGAAACTCATCTTCACTGTCACTTCCTCTTTAAATCTCATTGGAAACCCAAGTGTCCTCTTCCCGAGGTGACGAACTTCTGTACCACAGCACGTGGAAACTTACACTACATTGATTCCCACATCACCTCTGGACCCAATTGCCTATGCCATTCCCACTCACCCCAATTCTCTCATATCTAGCTATCTGCCTTTCTTGTAGTTTAGAACCTCGCTCTTTCCTGCGCTTCTATTACCCTAGTACCCCTACCGTTAACCTAGTGAGCAAAACCCTAAAAGGGTGTTAAAACCTTAAGCTACAATTAATAACAGTAACTGTATAACATTTTTATCTAGCCATTAAGCATAATCCAAACATATATGTCATTTCGTTGCAGGTGGGCTAACCTTTTTCTTTCTTAAATAATACTCAACTTTCCCTACATTAAGACTACAAATATTTGAGTAAAAATGAGTGTACTGGTGTAAATTTTACTTTTATTTAAGTTTTTATCCTAGTTCTATTGCTAACTTAATATGTAGTTTTAACTTGTTATTGGCATTTTTGCATTTATAGTGGGAAAAAATGCGTTTGCTTCGGTGATTCTCTTTCGGCAGTAAGCCTGTACCTAACCTTCCACATAATTCCCTGTTTAATTTTTTAAAATTTTTTTAAATTTTACAAACTTTAGCCCCCCCTTTCCTTTTTTCCCCCCCTTTTTTAAAAATATCAGGAATTTTTCCCATTTTTCATTCCTACCCCAAAATTTTTCAAAAACCAGAAAACTTTATTTCCACCCAAAAAAGGTTCTTTTAAAAATAAACGCCTTTTTCCCCTTTTATTTTTTTCTTTTTAATTGAAAAAAAGGTTATGCGGGCCTGAAAAAGCCCTAACACTTTTTTTTTTTTAAAAAATTTTTTTTTTCCCTGCAATTAAAAAAACAAGTTAAAAAAAAAACCCCAAGGGTTTTTTATAATATCCTTTTCCCCCGTGTGAAAATTTTAGAAAAAATTTTCCCCTTAAATTTTAAAAAGGGAAAAAAAAAAATCAAAATTTTTTAAATGCAAAAAGTTAAAGGGGGTTATTTTTTAAATTAACTCGTTTTTCCAAAAAAACCCCCTTTAAAAATTTAGAAAAAACTTCCTCACAAAACCCCCCCTATTTCCCCCCCCCCCCAAAATCTTTTTTTTTTCCCCTTTTTTTTTTTTTTGAAATCAAAAAACAAGCAAAATCATAAGGCAGATTCTTGCCTTGGCAACTTTCCCTCCTCCTTTTGCAAAATATAAAAAATTTAAAGTAGAAAAAATACTGTACTGACTTCTTCAATGAAATTCAGGTAGTACTACTAAAAAAAACAAAGTTTCTCTTTTAAAGTGTAGTAATGTAAAAAAGGGACTACCCCCCCCTTGTCCCAGCTTTTTGTCGCCTCTTTCAACAAAATGGCTTAAGGAGGAAGAATTCTTTCCACTTCCCCCTGGAGGTAAAGGAAATAAAGAACAAGCCCTATTAAGAAAACAGAAAACCCAGTGGGGGTAAATATATATGCATGTGCATCATGTATGTGTACCTATGTATAAGTAGCAAGATATACCTTGATCGCGGGGGCTATCCCGCCCTGGTATGGTTTTGGCTAGCAAGATATACATGTTTTCTGGTAGTTTTTGAGACAGAAAAAAAGACCCAGCAATCCCACCCTCATGTAAAACAATAACATATACCTCAGGCTCT